GCTCATGTTATCAAAAACCATATTCTGGACATCTGGAGGCCTGATCCAGTCTCCAGGCATGGGGATGGGGAGAAGGAGATCAAGGAGCCTTGCTTTAGCTAACACTTCTCACCAGGTGGTCATGCCTGCCCCTTGCAAGGGCTCAGCTGAAACCTACAGAGCCTGTCCAGTAAACCTGTGCAACAATGTGATAATGCAAAACAGCCGTATGTGTCCCTGGTTTCCATAAAGAGGCTCAATTGGAACCCTGATGAGCCTTTCTGGCCTGCACCCTTTTTTTAACATAGCACATCCTCTTGCGTTAGGTGGCATGAGTGCTAATCCGAGGACAGTTGAGCGGAAGTAGAAATATTGCGGATGTTAAATGCCAGTCACCTCTTACCTACCACAAAGACTTTTCCTTCCAACTCCTAACCTTGGCACACATGGCTTGGTGTCCCCACGTGAGTGAGCAGAAAGTTGGAGTCTAAAAGTTGGCTACTTGTATGGAGAATCACTCACTCTCCTTGCTCATTCAACTCAGTGGAACTTCAACTCGGGAAAGGGAAACCATGATTTTCAATGAAAGTAAGCAGCGATCTGGATGTAGTGTTAGAGAACCAAACATTCCCATATTCTTCATGATGGAAGAAGACACAAAACTCTAAGTCCTGTCTTAATTTTCCCCTGATCCCTGCCTGGGGCCAGCAGATCACTTCCTAGTAGCCTAAGAGGTAGGGTGCTGTGGAACCGCTGGGAAGCATGCTGTGCGTGTAGGGCACCCATCCCCTGCCCGGCTAAGGTCTCCCCACGCTGGCCTGCTGCCTCCTCCTTCAGGCTCCATTAGGGTTGCCTATATCAGAGCAGGCTCGTGAGGCAAATATTTCCCAGCACCAGATTTCTTGTGTTGTTTGCTGTAGCGTTGATGCTCTGGGACAGAGCAAAACGGTTTTGCAGTTTTCCAGGCTGCCGATCACGGAAGCGAGTTGCCAGTTCTTTCCTCCCACAAGGCCACTAGAGGATTCAAACCACCAAGTCTGTGGTTACAGCCAAGCACTTAACCATTGTACTAGTACTTCCTATTCGCCAATTTCTCACGGAGTGTTACATTTGAGAGAGGATAAAAGTATCGGGTCTGAATGACTGGACTCTAAAATGGAGCGTGTCATTTGGCACTTCCCTCCCCAATCTCTAAAACGCACAGATCCCCGGAGATAGGAAGAAAAAATAATTAAACCCTTTAGGCAGCCCTGGCTCCTAAGGCGGATTGTATTTCATGAAACCAGAGTGTTTCGAAAGTTGTGTAAATTGAATCTCTGCAAATGGAATTCTAATAAACTGGGGACGGTTGCTATTTGAAGGAACCGTTCCATTAATCCCTTTGTGATGTGAATAATCACCCCCCAATCTGTCTCTTCTGCAAATTTACTTTTCATATGTTGGGTTTGCCCAGAGCCGGCCACAGCTGTACTGAACTATTGCACATGTTCCCCCTAC